TCTCTCTCTCTCTCTCTCTCTCTCTCTCTCTCTCTCTCTCTCTCTCTCTCTCTCTCTCTCTCTCTCTCTCTCTCTCTCTCTCTCTCTCTCTCTCTCTCTCTCTCTCTCTCTCTCTCTCTCTCTCTCTCTCTCTCTCTCTCTCTCTCTCTCTCTCTCTCTCTCTCTCTCTCTCTCTCTCTCTCTCTCTCTCTCTCTCTCTCTCTCTCTCTCTCTCTCTCTCTCTCTCTCTCTCTCTCTCTCTCTCTCTCTCTCTCTCTCTCTCTCTCTCTCTCTCTCTCTCTCTCTCTCTCTCTCTCTCTCTCTCTCTCTCTCTCTCTCTCTCTCTCTCTCTCTCTCTCTCTCTCTCTCTCTCTCTCTCTCTCTCTCTCTCTCTCTCTCTCTCTCTCTCTCTCTCTCTCTCTCTCTCTCTCTCTCTCTCTCTCTCTCTCTCTCTCTCTCTCTCTCTCTCTCTCTCTCTCTCTCTCTCTCTCTCTCTCTCTCTCTCTCTCTCTCTCTCTCTCTCTCTCTCTCTCTCTCTCTCTCTCTCTCTCTCTCTCTCTCTCTCTCTCTCTCTCTCTCTCTCTCTCTCTCTCTCTCTCTCTCTCTCTCTCTCTCTCTCTCTCTCTCTCTCTCTCTCTCTCTCTCTCTCTCTCTCTCTCTCTCTCTCTCTCTCTCTCTCTCTCTCTCTCTCTCTCTCTCTCTCTCTCTCTCTCTCTCTCTCTCTCTCTCTCTCTCTCTCTCTCTCTCTCTCTCTCTCTCTCTCTCTCTCTCTCTCTCTCTCTCTCTCTCTCTCTCTCTCTCTCTCTCTCTCTCTCTCTCTCTCTCTCTCTCTCTCTCTCTCTCTCTCTCTCTCTCTCTCTCTCTCTCTCTCTCTCTCTCTCTCTCTCTCTCTCTCTCTCTCTCTCTCTCTCTCTCTCTCTCTCTCTCTCTCTCTCTCTCTCTCTCTCTCTCTCTCTCTCTCTCTCTCTCTCTCTCTCTCTCTCTCTCTCTCTCTCTCTCTCTCTCTCTCTCTCTCTCTCTCTCTCTCTCTCTCTCTCTCTCTCTCTCTCTCTCTCTCTCTCTCTCTCTCTCTCTCTCTCTCTCTCTCTCTCTCTCTCTCTCTCTCTCTCTCTCTCTCTCTCTCTCTCTCTCTCTCTCTCTCTCTCTCTCTCTCTCTCTCTCTCTCTCTCTCTCTCTCTCTCTCTCTCTCTCTCTCTCTCTCTCTCTCTCTCTCTCTCTCTCTCTCTCTCTCTCTCTCTCTCTCTCTCTCTCTCTCTCTCTCTCTCTCTCTCTCTCTCTCTCTCTCTCTCTCTCTCTCTCTCTCTCTCTCTCTCTCTCTCTCTCTCTCTCTCTCTCTCTCTCTCTCTCTCTCTCTCTCTCTCTCTCTCTCTCTCTCTCTCTCTCTCTCTCTCTCTCTCTCTCTCTCTCTCTCTCTCTCTCTCTCTCTCTCTCTCTCTCTCTCTCTCTCTCTCTCTCTCTCTCTCTCTCTCTCTCTCTCTCTCTCTCTCTCTCTCTCTCTCTCTCTCTCTCTCTCTCTCTCTCTCTCTCTCTCTCTCTCTCTCTCTCTCTCTCTCTCTCTCTCTCTCTCTCTCTCTCTCTCTCTCTCTCTCTCTCTCTCTCTCTCTCTCTCTCTCTCTCTCTCTCTCTCTCTCTCTCTCTCTCTCTCTCTCTCTCTCTCTCTCTCTCTCTCTCTCTCTCTCTCTCTCTCTCTCTCTCTCTCTCTCTCTCTCTCTCTCTCTCTCTCTCTCTCTCTCTCTCTCTCTCTCTCTCTCTCTCTCTCTCTCTCTCTCTCTCTCTCTCTCTCTCTCTCTCTGTCTCTGTATTTATTCTATATATGTAATTATATATTATATATATGTAATTATATATTATATATAGTATATAATATATATATTATATATATATATGTTATATATATATATATATTATATAATTATATATTATATATATATATATATAAGTATATATATATATATATTATATTATTATATATATTATATATTATATATATATATTATATATATAATTATATATATGTATATATATAATTATATTATATTATATATATATATAGGTATATATATATTGTATATATATATATATCATATATATATTATATTATAATTATATATTATATATATCTATATATATATATTATATATATATTATTATATTATATAATTATATATATATATATTATGTTATATATATTATATATGTATATGTATCTATATATATATATTATATGTATATATATTATATATAGTATATATTATATATAGTATATAATATATATATATAATTATATATATTATATATATAATTATTATATATATATAATTATTATATATATATATATAATTATATATATTATATATATATATTATATATTATATATATAATTATATATTATATATATATTATATATTATATATTATATATTATATATTATATATCATATATTATATATGTATAATGTATGTATGTATATATATTTGTATGTTATATATATATGTATAATGTATGTATGTATATGTATATATATTTGTATGTATATATATATTGTATGTATATATAATATGTATATATATATGGTATATATATATATTTTATATATATATATCTAATATATATAATTTCCAATTTCTGATGTCCTTTTACAGTTACTATCTCTGTACCATATTTACTGTTATAGTAGCCACTTGAATCAGGATCCTAATTTTCACTATCTGTAGAGTATAGGGTTTCATGTTTCATACTTTTATTATTTTTAATGGTGATACTGTACCAATTCTGGTTCTTAACCCCTTGGATCCGGCTGACATGGCCATCGGAGGAAAAAATCTGGGTCGAGGGGCATATGATGTGAACATCATAGGAAAATGTCATAGGAAAATCTGTTGTCAGGGTTTCATTTGAAGGCTGGGGTGATGGAAAAGACTTACCATGAGTGCACAATGCTATTTTAGGGGTTATTTTACTTGTGTGGCAATGTTGCATTATTCCCATCAATGTATGAGTATAGAATATAATGTCCATAAGCGGTGACTGGAAGAGCTAGATAGACGCAAAATTAAAAAAACTATTACCATCTGGATAATACAAATCAAATGGCAAATATGGACATTGGAAAATGGCCCAAAAACTATAAACACTTGTATGTAAAAAGAGTAAACTTTGCAAATAGGAGGGAGACAGCCTTTTGTCACCGCACACATGTTCACATGTGCCAGGCCTACAAGCAACCGCCTGGCCGCTCATGTAAGCGTATATATATATATAAAAAAAAAAAAAATGTTTCAGATTTAAGATACTTCCTCCAGGAGGTGTTAATAGTGGATGCAACAGTAGTAGTGCGTCCAGCAGTACCAGTGGAAGTGGAAGTAGTGGTACCAGCAGTGGTTCCAGTACCAGTTTTCAGGGTGCTGCAGGCTCAACATCAACATCTCAGAGGTGATTTTTAATTTTTTTTAAATCTAATATATATAATTTCCAATTTCTGATGTCCTTTTACAGTTACTATCTCTGTACCATATTTACTGTTATAGTAGCCACTTGAATCAGGATCCTAATTTTCACTATCTGTAGAGTATAGTGTTTCATGTTTCATACTTTTTTTACTTTTAATGGTGATACTGTACCAATTCTGGTTCTTACCCCCTTGGATCCGGGTGACATGGCCATAAGTGGGGAAAATCTGGGTCGAGTGGCATATGATGTGAACATGCTGTCCTAGGAAAATCTGTTGTCAGGGTTCATTTGAAGACTGGGGTGATGGAAAAGACTTACCATGAGTGCACAATCCTATTTTAGGGGTTATTTTACTTGTGTGGCAATGTTGCATTATTCCCATCAGTGTATGAGTATAGAATATAATGTCCATAAGCGGTGACTGGAAGAGCTAGATAGACGCAAAATTAAAAAAACTATTACCATCTGGATAATACAAATCAAATGGCAAATATGGACATTGGAAAATGGCCCAAAAACTATAAACACTTGTATGTAAAAAAGAGTAAACTTTGCAAATAGGAGGGAGACAGCCTTTTGTCACCGCACACATGTTCACATGTGCCAGGCCTACAAGCAACCGCCTGGCCGCTCATGTAAGCGTAATGCCTGTATTTTTGGTGATTTGATTGCAACCGGATCCAATGGGTAAATATATTATGTACACTGAAATTACATGACAATTTTTTCAGTGCTGCTTCGAGTAACAGTGGCAGTTCCTCAAGTGGTAGTAGTGGAAGTGGGGAGAAGAAAACTGTGGCATCGGAAGTCCTTGGACCAGTTGCAAAGATCCTGAAGTGTGGTGACAGCAAGGAGTCCTCTGATAAGCTTGACATGCCCCCTCCACCTTCACCTGCTTCTAGCACGTGCTCCGATACTGGTGAGTGTTATCGAAGTTTAGAAGGGGTCAGTGATTTATGAAAGGGGTTGGGGTTTGATGCAAAGTAAAGACAGAATATATAGAGTGTTATATAGATTAACAGGTATGACAATGATGTATTTTTTATTTTAAAGGATCCATTTATAAATTGAAGTAAACATCTAACCCATATGTCCTGTTCCAGGTGGTGGTTGTGCCACAGACAAAAGAAGGCAAGGGCAACCTGCGTGTCATTCACCGGGACCAGCTGCAGGTTATCCGTGCAGGTGGCAACCCTCGTGTTCCAGATTGTTACCAGAAGACTCCCAAACGCATTCCTGTCAGTGAGCAAGGCCAGATTCTCACTGTGGCTGTGGATGGCAGAGGTAGGTTTTTGTCTATCTAGGAGTTTTGTATCCCCCCTGCCCCCTTTCTTGTCTACTTCTCCTCAGTCAGCCCTTTACTTTGCAAGATTTTTTTGTTTGAGTATCTATGAGATTTGTTTGTTATATTTAAAAAATTATGAAAATGATCAAAAGAAGATATTGAGGATAAAAAGTACTTGAGAAAATAATGACACGAAAATAAAGAGGTATGAGTAGTAGGTCTGAAGAAGAGCAGTTGCAAGTAAAGAATATCTCTAAGAGATATTGAGGATAAAAAGTACTTGAGAAAATAATGACACGAAAATAAAGAGGTATGAGTAGTTGGTCTGAAGAAGAGCAGTTGCAGGTAAAGAATATCTGTCTGCAAACTTCAGTTATGGAAGATCAATATTGATGAAAATTATTGTAGTTTTATGAAAATGTAGTTAGATGAAAATACTTACGGCTCAATTCTTTCAAGGCTGACTTTAGAGTCTTTAATCTGTGGTAATCATTGTCACAGACTGACTTTTGTGTTTTTAACCCAGTGCCAACGGGCATGACGTATACGTACGTGCTATGGCCAATGTGAGTTACTTGTTTGATTGTTTTTACACATAGATGGCTACACTTGTACTAAGTCACCTATTAGCCAATTACGAGTACTTCCTGTCTCGCCCGTTTACCCTTTTCTTTGATTTATGAAAATATTTTATCTTATTCTTATTTATAACATTATAGTAATTGTTAAGTTTATAATAAAAATAACACCAATATTCATAGCACTAGTCAAAAATACATTTTTCCCGCCAATTCAAATCAGCTAAGGTCACAAGTCTACTAATTGACTCCTTTGTGGCTAAGCACTAGCAGAGCCATCTATGTGCAGAGACATTTCACAAAAAATATAGAAAATGAGCACAGCATTTTCCCTATTTTTTTATTCCTTTTCCCCAGTGGCATTGGGTTAAATTGAGCTTTAGTGTATCTTTACATAGACATAAACACAGTTATCTCAGTTTTATGTCAAGATTATAACTATTATTTATTTATATTTTTCTTCTATCCCCAGGCATTCACGCCATTGTCAGGAATGGCAGCCGCTTGACATACGTCATATACAATCTCAGCTCTGGGAAATCGGAGCAGGAATGTGTATTTCCAACTGAAAGTACAGCTTTCATGGGATCAGAACCATCTGCCATATCACTTACTATTAATGGAGAGGTTTGTTGAGATAAGACTCCAGTTGTTTTCCTTGGATGATAAAGTTGAAAGATGGGCATTATTTTTGCATTTCAGTTTGTGATGTATTGATTGAAATTCATGTCTGTTGATGAAGTATTATACAAAATTATGAAGATATTATTATAGTAATGTACAGCATTGGATATTCAATAATACAGAAGTGATCAAATATTTCACAGAGTGAAAACGTCGGTGTGCTTCGTGATGGTAATAGTACTATCTACCCTCTGAGCAAAGACTGTGTAGACTCCATCAAGGACCCTCACTGGCCTGATCTACCTCCGGTCTCATGCTTAGGTGTAGCCACACATTTCTTGCATGGGGCTGGTGCTCACCAGAAGAACCATGTTGCATTACTGGTGCTGGCACTCAAGACACAAACTCTGATGCCAAAAATCCTGCGATGTGATCCAGAAGGTGTTAGGCAGGTCTTGGCTGTTATTGAAAATGACAATGGAGGTAATTTAAATTTATATTTGTGATGTATTGCTTAGAATTTTTGAAATATTACTATTATCAAAAGTTAGTTATTGGATAAAATTTTCATGCCTTATAAAACTGTAGATGTAAATTTTCACTCATTATCAAGTTGTAAGTTAAAGGATATCATGTATTTGGGTTTAATCCAAACTTTTCTTTATCACTAGCTGGTATGACGAGTTTAACAACAGAGGGAATAGTAGAAGAAAAGTGTGATGGAAACCGCAACATCCTGCATGCATGTATATCTACTTGCTGTCCAGTTACGAGCAAAGAGACAGAAGGGGAATCTGTATTAGAGAAAGACCCTATTTTGGGTAGCTTTGCTTGGCCACCCAGCTCATCTGACACCCTCAGTGACACAGCCAGTGCAGCAGGGCCAGAGGATGACCTCATGACCCCATCTTCCTCCAAAACCACACCAGGGCCAAGCATGCCCAACCTGGGAACTTCTGACCCTGCAGAGCGTAAATCTTATTCTCTTACTATCCTGAGAACCATCTGTGACAGCCCTGCACTAACGCCACACTTGAGGAACCTGCTCATTGCTCGTGACTCAAATGGCTTTACTCCCTTCATGCTGGCTGTCTCTGGTCGGGCATATCAAGCAGCCCTCATCCTTTTTGATGTCATTCACAGGGTGGCCCATGATAGTGCCCTTGATGCTGAGAGTGAAAGACGTGCTGTCATGCAAATGATATTCCCAAGGGGCAGTAACCCAGATGACTCGCCACTTCATGTCCTGTGCTATAATGACACCTGCTCGTTCACTTGGACAGGAGCAGAGCATATTAATCAAGACATATTTGAGTGTCGCACCTGTGGCCTTGTTGGCTCCTTGTGTTGCTGTACAGAATGTGCAAGAGTATGCCACAAAGGGCATGACTGTAAGCTCAAGAAAACTTCACCAACAGCCTATTGTGATTGCTGGGAAAAGTGTAAATGCAAAGCTCTGAAGTCTGGCCATCAGACTGCACGTTTTGACCTGTTGTCAAGGCTCATCACAGAGACAGATCTAGTGAACATATCCAATGGTAGGGGTGAAAACCTCCTCCTGTTCTTGGTACAAACTGTTGGACGGCAGGTCACTGAACAGAGGCAGTGGTCAAAGTTAGTACATTGCTGACTTATTATTGTGTGTATATTGGTAAAATGATATAATAGCAAATCTGTCAAACACTAGCTATATAATTGGTTTATATTATAAATAGATTGAAATACAAGTAATTATTAAATTTAAATTAATCATGGTTTGTTTCAGGTGTCGTTCGTCGTCATCATCATCTACTCGTAAGAATACCCTGTCAGATGTAGTCAACATGGAGGTACCTGACCATGATTTAGAACCACCCAAGTTCAGCCGAAGAGCACTTGAACGTTTGCTGAATGATTGGGCAGCTGTGAGAGCCATGATCATGACGGGTCATAAGGAAGAAAGTCCTCCTTCTTCTGCATCTACTGATGACATTAATTTCATGCAGTTTCAAGGTCATACAACCCACCTGGACAAATTTACCTATTGCTTGCTTGTGAAGTTGGTAACTCAGGTAAGGAAAAACTAATTGCGTAACCTGGAAATCCAACATACTGTATAAACTTTGTGAAAATGTTTGTGGTGACTTCTATTTCCTTTTTTGTAATCACTTGTTCATCTGTTATGAATCCCTTTTCCAGGTTGAGCATAGGAATCTCAAGCTAAAGCACCTAATTAATAGTGACGATGATGAGCGAAAGATGATTGCTGACACAATGGTGACTGCTCTCATCAACACGTTGATCAGAGAGCTGCACAATGACACAATTCCTGGAAGAAAGCAGGAAGCAGAAAAGGTGAAATAAGAGACTCCTTATACTGAAACATACAGAAGAGATCTGTCTGAAAAAAATTGTCAATTACTATTTCCTTTTCTGTTGCTCTATGTCAAAGTCATTTCATGTATCATTTCAGGTTGCCAGGAGGTTTATTGCATCAGTGGTTAGGATCTTTGTTATTTTGGCCATTGAAATGATGCCTAACGCTGGAAAAAAGAAGCCAGGCAGCTCCTACACGCAGTCCCTTGCTAAATGTATCAAAGTAAGAATTACCAAGTGTTTTCTGTGTTTGAGATTTTATTAAAGTGATTTCTCATGATTTTATGGAGATGATTGTGTGGTTTTCTTGCTATGTTATTAAAGCACTACGTATTTGATATAATAAATCTAGGTTTCTCCTAATTATGAAATACCTTTGACACAGGTATTTGAGTCCATCATTCCAGTAGCTGTGACAGAGCTGTGTGATGCTGCAGATGCCCTTATGTTGCCAGTACGCTTAAACTATGTCAAGCCGACTGCACCATTTCCACTTACATCAACTCATGTGGATGGCAATCATGGCTGCAAGGTATTTAGAAAATATTTGTACCTAAAGCTGAAACTCTGAATTGTGTAATTGTAGTAGGAGAGAATATCAGAAAGTAACTGTTACATTGTGGTCTTTCCCAATTAACAATGCCTCTATGACAGGAGATGTTTGAAGTGGAACCCCTTCAGTGGCAGCAGCACAGAATGGGTGGCGAACCATTATCCTCAGCTGGAGGAAGTAGTGTGTCCAGAGGAGCTGTTGGAAGTGGTGGAGGGGAAGAGGAGGAGGAAGCTGGGGAGGAAGAAGTAGCCCCACTCCCAGGCCCAGCCCCAGGGACAAGACCAAGGAGGGCTCGACCAGATCACATTCTCCCTCCCCAGGTGGATGACCATGATAATGAAGGTGAGGGTTTGTTTCTTTCTTGTTTTTTTTTTTTTTTTTTTCTTTTTTTCTTTTTTTCTTTTTGTTGAATGTTCAGTATTTAATATTTTTCAAGAAGAATTTTCTCATTTGTTTATACTGTTATTGACATTAGTTTTTTGATGGGTATATATGTATATATATTATTATTTTTTTACATATGATAGTTGCAATTATGTCTTTGTTTGTGTAGGGGGAAGTGAACGTGATGATGCTAACGAGCGTTCAGAACAAGAAGGAGATGGAGGAGCAGAAGTGGAGGGTGGAGAATCGGACATGGAATTGGACTTGCTAGCAGAGTCAGATAGTGATAGTGATGACAACCAGTCTGCTGTAGATAATACATCAACTCAGCGATCAGTGCAGACTGGTGCGACTGCTGGGAGTGATGGGGAGGATGATTCTGGCGAATCCTCTCCGGGTGAAGATGAAGATGATGAGAGTGAAGCAGCTGAAACTGATGAATTTGATTCTGGTGAACTCTTTTCTGATGAGCAGTTAGAGAGGCGAGTTAACACTTCCTCTACTGCTCGTAATATTGCACCTCACAATCTGCAGTGGGCTGTGAGGAATCACCGTGATAGTACCTCACGTTCTGGAGGAACAACTGGAGGCCCCACAGCCACAGGTACCTCCAACCCTACCTCTAGTGGCTTAATATACATTGATCCAACTTCACTCAGGCATGGACCTACATCCACATCAACAGTTACACCATCCTCCCATGAGCCTGTTAGTCTGGCTACAACTAACAATACTCTCGCAAGGGCTTTTACAATTGTGATTAGGCAGATGAGCTCTCTTTTGAGTTTGGCCTGTGATGTGGTAAGAGATGGAGGCCTCACCTCTAGAGGTCCTGCTGGAAGTGGAGGTGGTGTTCCTGGCAGCAGCAGCAGTGCCACTGCCACGACCCAGATGTGCCTGACACCCACCATTATTGCAGCTCTTCTTAAGCAGGTTGATGCTCGTCTTCGTCCCACTTGGGATTGGCTGATGAGCCTCATGGATTCAACAGAGTCACAGCTAAGGTGAGGATTAAAAGATATATGTATTTTTTCTCTTTTCAGATTGTTCTGTTTTTATTGAAATGAATATCACATTAATTTTGATATAGAATTAGTAGAGGCTGTTAGTTTCATTAATGACCAGGTCTTGTTATTTGGTTTCCTTACACAGATTTGGAAGAGAATTGAACCAACTCATTGAAGGAAGTGGAAGCAGCACAACACCAACAGCACCACCAGCAGGAGTGTCTCAGACACGCCCTCGTGAAAGAAGTGCGGGAAGAACTGGCCTTCCATTCATACGAGATCCATTGATTAGCCCACTTTCAAGGTACCAGAGTGCCAGGCGTGGAGCAAGAACCACCAATACTACAGCTGATCCACAGAATGCTCGAAGGGATACACTCTCTTATGTGGTCTCTCTTCTTCGAGCCCATAAGAACGAACACTGTGACACACTACCAGATATAGATGTTGGATCTCTGAAACATATTGGTAAGATACTGTTATAACTTAATATCTTTAAAAGAGCTCACTTTATATTTTAAAAAGTAAGATTGAATGTAATAAGTTGTTGAGACTCATTATTTGTTCCATTAACAGTGGTTATGAATCTAACTTATTTAGGTATGAAATATTTCCTGAACCTCTTTGCAAAATATAAAATTCATATATAGAATATTTTTACATAAGATATAGTATTGTCTTGTAAGAATGACTTTTTATCTCCCACACAGCATATGTATTTGACGCTCTTATAAGCTACTTGCGGTGCTGTGAAACAGACAGCAGTGCTCACATAGACTCTGGTGGGGCTGAGTGTACTGGTTTTTCTTGGGAACGGGATGAGAATGAAAACGAGGATGACATGGATGATCTGCCATCAGTCACCCCCTCAGCTGGTGATAGTGAGTCAGCTGATGAGGATTCAAATCTTTCCAATTCTAGAGGACGAAAACATACATTCTTCCAGGTACACACAGTCAAGCTTTTTCATTATTATTGCTGTTATAAATCACTTTTATTTAAGTTTTGAACTCAGATATATTTGTCAAAAGTTAATGAGATAAAATGACATGGAAGTCATTTCTTGCAGGGAATATAAATTGAATATCTTTGTGATTTCAGAGATCACAGTCGACACTTTGCTTGGGATCAGTGGGTGCAGATGTATTTAGCAGTCCTTTACAAGAAGCTTTGCCTCTTGCTGATAAACCTCACTTACTTCAGCCAAATGCTCGGAGAGAAGAACTGTTTGGCATTCCTCGAACACATACTCACAATACAAGTGAGTCCTATGAACAAGTTTGCCTTGTTATTTTTTTGTTATTGTTTTTTAATATTGTTACATTGCTTTATTTGTATTTTTCGAAATATATAGAAACTTGTTTGATTAGAGAAGGGCGAGTTCTAGTCACTTTGTTTATAAAGAATGATAGCCTGTCTGGTGTAGCTAATTTATATTTGTTTTACAGGTAGTTGTCTATCAATATTAAATGAATGTTTTTCTTTCATTCAGGTCAAGGGACAAGAATTCCCCTGGACACTCCATTGTCAAGATTGGGTGTATTGGAGAACCTGCATATGGTGGGGCCATACCCCCCAACACCACAACAGTCTTATGCACATATGTTAGGCTCTGCCAGAACTCCTGACCATCAGCCAACAGAATTGTCTGTATATGCAACAGGACAAATTAGAGATTTAAAGGTAGGGTTTGTTTTTTAGTTACTCTCTTAAAGCTTGAATTATTATGGCAGGTAATTAATTTGCTATTGTTTTATTCATTTGCTAATATCCGCATTAATTTTGGGTGCATTTTCTCGGAAGCAACTTGAGTCTCTTTTTTTCCTCCAATCTGTTAGTCTCTCTGAGTCAGACTTTTGAATTTTTCTGTCTTTGTTTTCTTGGTGAGCTTGTAATCTTTGTTTCTTTACTTTGTTACTTTTCCCTCTGCTTCTATACCTGTTCTCTTTCTTTCAATTAGGTACTAAAGAAGGGACACTGATACTACCTCTGGGTATATGATACAGTATGTTAAAATTGAAGGTTGTCAAAATGTACTAAAATATTTGTACAACTAATAAAAATGTGTAGGTTGTAAGTTAATGTGAGACTTGTATGAAAAAAATAGCCTCAAGATAATTTAGGATAATGGTGACTCAAGTATTCTAAGCAAAAGTAAACTTGAATATTCTTTGCTATGTGAAAACTTTTTAGACTTTGGGACAGTTGTTATGATGTGTCAGGGGTTTTCTTAATGCAGGTTACCTAATCAGGTAAAAAATGGTAGATGAAATATATGAAAAAAGGGCAGAAATACAATGGAGATGTTCAAGTACTAAAATTTATGTTAACTGAGAGTGCATTTTTGTGTGTGCGTGCGTGCTCCATGCGTGCGTGTGTGTTTTATATATATATATACACACACATATATGTATGTGTATGTATGTATATATATACAGTGTGTGTGTACATGTGCATATATATTATATATTGCATAATAAATATATGTATATAAATGTGTATATATATATATATATATATATATATGTATATATGTATATATGTATATGTATCTATTAATCTATCTATATATATTATATACATATATTTTATATGTATGTGTGTTTATGCATGCATATATGTATATATTATTGATACACACACACACACACACACACACACACACACACACACACACACACACACACACACACACACACACACACACACACACACACACACACACACACACACACACACACACACACACACACACACACACACACACACACACACACACACACACACACACACATACATATATAAATATAAATATAAATAAATAAATGTGTGTGTCTTATTCTATGTGATATTAGATATGATAGTAGATATTAGTAAGTAGGGATGATGTATGTATTACTTTCCATTTTGTTTCATAGTTATTTTTGTATACTATATTTTCTCAGAGAATAGTTTGTTAGGAGAAAAATAGGGAATTGTACACACAAAAGGAAATCAATCTTCTAATATTTTTTCATAGAACTTTTTAGTGGTGCACATTAAGGGATTAAGGTTGGGGACCATGGCTTAGTGTTCTTTCTTGCTGCAACACAGGATGAAGACATGAGTGAGGATAGTGGTGAGACATCTCAGGAGAGAGCACCAATCATTGTGTCTCCAAGGCGTACAGGGAGCAGCTTAGGTGGGGGGATTAGCGATCACAGCAGCGGCTCTTCTGCCTCCTACGTGCCCGAGTCCACCCCTGCCCGGTCCAGTGTCAAAAGCGTTATTGTACGGGTGGGGTCTTCAACAGTTGCCAATGCGTTTAAATCTGAGGTGAGTCCATGGGCTTGGATTTTTGCAGAAAGCTGTAATGTCTGTCTCTCTCTTTCTCTTCCTCTTTTTCTCTTTTCTGTGTCTTCTTTTTCTCTCTGTGAACTTGGTTGAGGGAAATTGAAGGACCCTTTCATTGGGCAGGAGAAGTGCTGGCTTTGAAGTCTTATTGGATGTTAGGGACTAGAGAATCCAGATCCAATTTTCCATTTTGTGATTTTACAGTATGTTGTCTTATTATTATTGGTATTATTTATTATTTGAACTTTGCACTCTGGATTTCTGAACATTGCAGGGTAGGAAGAGGGTTTGTTTTTGAAAGCAAATAGTTTCTTTTTGTGTTATTAGATTATTTTCTGCATTCCTTTATTAGTCAGTAGGCTTTTCAGATACGATGAGAATATCTAGGAGAGACAGAAAAGCCAACCATGTACTAAAATCCAACATCTTGTTCCTTCCAGGTTGCCACATCATCATCACTGTCATCAAGCCTGTCAGCCACTGCTGCTTCCACCCCTTGCACACCCTCCTCAAGCCTAGGGGGTAGAGGTGGTGCAGACCTACTTGTGGTGCCACTTGACGGCAGAACCAGCAGGGGCTCAGAGATGGGCCTTCATGCACCCCATGATGTGTCTGCTAATGTTACCATCGATACTACTCACGATCAGATGAGGTAATGCCATTTCTTTAATGCTTTACTTTGGTGAATTAGAACACAAAAAAAAAACTCTGGACATTGGGAAGAGGAATTTGATACTAATAATGGTTGAATAGATTTTTTCTTTAGATAGATACATATATATTACATTTGATAAACCAAGAAATTATGAGAATTTAGTAAGGAACCAGTGGTATGCAACTACAAATGCTGCTCTTTCTGAACTACCAGTCAGACTTGTTTTGTGGCTTTTTACTTTTCAAGTTACAGGAAGTAATTGTAGATAGGTTTTATCTGATTTACACAAAGGGTCTGCTCCAGTAAAAAAAAAAAATGGTAACTAGTAACTTTAAATTTGTATTGAATTGTACAAAATATTCCCGTTAACCTCTTAGAACTACAGTTCCTCATAGGCTGTTGGTCCCCATGGCCACAATTTAGCTTGATTTTTCAAGTTTCAGCAAGGCAGATTTGAACAGTATGATTTTATATATAGAATATACATGTATTCACTGTCATGTGTCAGACCCATGTAGCGGAACTTTCCACCCAGCGTGATGAGTGGGTTTGTTATGACATCTATAGGCGTGGCCTGGCAAATACAGTTTAAAAAGCAGCTTGCATGTTACATTGAAGTTAAACATTTAATTTACTTTTGCAGACCTGCTCTCTTAAGAAGTGGAGTTTCTCAAGATCTTCTGCTTGGCCGTTGGAGACTGACCCTAGAGCTGTTTGGTAGAGTCTTTATAGATGATGTTGGAGCTGAACCAGGCTCTATCATTGCTCAGCTAGGAGGATTCCCAGTCAAAGAAGCCAAATTTAGACGGGAAATGGAAAAGTTGAGAAATTGCCAGCAACGTGATTTGAATCTGACGAAGGTAAGCCCATTTTCATTTCACTTCTTTCTTTTACCACCTGCATTCGAATTGTTTAGGTGATGATATTAACCTCTCAGTGACGGGTATTAGAAATCTCTCGGCAGCGTCCACAGCTGCTGGGTGCGGGAATCTGCTAAATGCAGTGGAACTTCCCACTCGACGTGCTCTAGCGCATCGCTATGCTGTACCTCGCTGATCATGTGATTTGTTATGACAGCTGTACACCTGACCTGGGTTAAGGGATATTTATCTTCCTCTTGTATTGCACTCTGGAGCATTTATGAGCCTGTAGTAATTTTTAAGCTTCAAAAAATCAAAGATTATTAGTTTAAGTGAAAGTCTTTAACTGTTATAGCACATAGAATGAGAAACTAACTGTTCCAGGGATGTGTCAGGGTTTTAAAAAATGTTTATCTATAGATAAATTGATTCATTTCCTTAGTGAAGTAATTAAAGTCATTACTGTCATTATGGCATTTTGAAAGCTCATTATTTATCATATTGTTTCCAAAAGTTTTACTTTGGTTAATGTGAAAACTTTTAGTGACAGTATTAGAAAATTCTCAGCATCATAGACTAAGGTGATTTATAGCAACCGTTCTGCTATTGGGAGTGGGAGTCCACTACATGTAGTGGAACTTCCTGCTTGACACTCTCTAACATGTCACCACACATGTGGCCATACCCAGCAGATCAAGCAGTATGTTATGACATCTATACACATGGCCTAGCAGTAACAGGTTAAACATTCTTGGTTATATTACTATACATTTTCATATTTATTTTTATTTAATTTTTAAAAAAATTAATTAATTAATTGATTAATTTTCGAACAAACTTAGGACTGGCGTGGAAGTAGAGACTTCTAAGACTATTGCTTATGAGAGGATTAACATGTACACATTTTATGCTTCATTTCATGAAATACACAGAGACATATTTCTTTTCTTATATAGAAAAGGTATGAATGAGAATAAATAGTTTTACAATACAAGAGATGAATTTAACCTGTTGCCACTGGGTGGCATGTACGTATATGCCGTGGCATGCCCGGACTACATTCTGGGTGGCATGTGTATACATGACATGGTGTACTAGTCCTGTTTTCCGGGGGCATGTATGGTCATGCCACACATGCTATGGTGATGACACGATCCTCCAGCAGTGGGGCCCAGGCCACTATCTATGAATACAACCTTGGAGAGGGCTCTTGTATTGGGAAACCACCCAGTGGTATTGGGTTAACTGTTTCGATTATATCTTTGTCAGGATGTGTATCTGAGGAAGATATCATTGAAACTGGTTAAATACATCTCTTGCATTGGGAAAATATTCATTCTCATTCATACCTTTTCTACATTTGTCAACTTGAATACAGTTCATTACATGTCTTGTTTTTGGCAAGTAATATTTTCCCAACCATATGAGATAAGGGTTTTACTTAGAACTGATAAACAACTAATTATTTTCATAATTTACATATATTTGGAATACCTGCATCGTTTGTATATTGTCTTTGTTTCCAAAATGATTATAGTCACCTGTCCCAACCAGATTGACCGGGAGAGAGGGCAGTTGATCACCCAGACATTCAAGGAACTCAACACTCAGTACAACAATTATCACCGTCGAGGAACACAGTCATCACCACCCTTGGCTGTCAACCGAGTTAAAGTGACATTCCGTGATGAGCCAGGAGAAGGCTCTGGTGTTGCTAGATCATTTTACACAGCCATTGCAGAGGCCCTGCTATCAGGGGAAAAACTCCCGAGCCTGGAATCTTGCCAGGTGAGGCCAAAAGAAGTATGTTACCTGCTCATTATGTTCCTTAGGCTTGTAACTTAACCAACATTTTGTGCATGCTTTTATTTTATTTTTTTCCATTTGAAAGAGATGTTGACTTACCCTTTTATCTGTTTTTCATTGAGAAATGCTTCTGCTAATCTTTTGTTGAAATTTACTAATTTTATCTCTGTTTTCTTTAACCCTGATAGTTATTCACAAAAACTTGGTAATATTCTGTGTTTGCTTCTTAAATTTGACAGCTTTTGGTTGATAGGTTCAAAAGTAATATATTATTTTCTATTATGATTTTCATTACCTTGATTTTTCTTTTTTTTCTTTTTTTTTACAAATTAATTATTAGACACTAAGTTTTATCCTCTGAAAAGGCCCTTTATGAGGAAGTTAACAAATATTTTTCATGGATATTACTTGCTTTCAGGTTGGATTACCTGTAGTTCGGTATAGTCTATATGGTCAGTACAAGGGACGAGACAGAGATCGACGCCAGGGAGCTTCGTCTTCAAGATCATTGCAGAGAAGAGATGCCCGAAAGACACTCTCTGTGGATGCGCGACCCTTCTACATGACTGGAGAGGGCAGTAGTAACGAGCACTTGCCGTCAAATATGCTGCAAATTGGTGAAGCCTTATTC